CTCCCTCAGGTTCGCGTTATGAACGTCACCGCACATTCTCTTCAGATCCGCAACCATTGTGTGTACACAATCAAACATGACCCCTCTCTTTCTAGCAAGCTCGTGCGCGCTCTCTATCATTCGGCGGTGCACGAGTGTGAAGTCTCCCGCCATGTTGGGGACTTCCTCGAGAGGAATTTTGGCAGGGAAAGACGTGGGTTCCATCCCGACGGCCCGGAGGGTATCCTGCACACACACACAAATGAACGAAAGGTAGAAAAAAAAAGAAAAAAAATCACACATCACAGCCAAACAAGGCATTTGTCGAGCAGCACGAACGAAGATAATGACAACCACGGAAAGCGGAAGGCGAACGACGTCAGTTTCACCGCTGATGTCTCTCACGTGTTGGCATGGCTTTATGGGATACAAGCATGCAAACCACCCGCTTTACAATGCACAAATTTGTGCACTGATATCATTGCTCATGTGGTTGACTCTCCTCACCCCTTTCCACTCCATGTTCGCCTCCGTAGCCACTGGAATCACGTGCAGGTCGTCCGGCCAAGGACCCTGTCAACATTGTGAATCCTTGGAGCAAGGTGTTATTGTCGTCAACCATGGTCTTGTTCATCCCCTCCAAAGCAGTCACGAAAGTTCCTGCAAGCATTTTGGCGTTTTGTTTGTTTGAATCCGCCAACGTCATCGCGATGCCGGACATGGCATTTGTTTCACCCACCTTCAAGCGGAGAGTCCGACCTGCTACACAGCCCTCCTCCTCTGGTCCAGTGGTACTTCGACCCCTCCAACATATCACTCTCTGCCCGCCTGCATGGCACGTTTCCCTTGCTCACACTCCCCCCCCTTCGCCATCCGATGTAACAGCGTTGGTGGCAGCTCCAAGAACATCAACAGAGTTCACCACCTGGTCGCAAGACTCGAAAAATTTCCCCAACTTCCACTGAATTGCATCTCAGTATTGCCTCTCATAATACAGGGGCACCCCGACCTGCTTTCTCTCCTGTTTGTCCGTATTCCAGTAGATCTGCTCGCCCAACCAGTTATGGAAGTCCCTAATCTTCTTCTCCTATTGACAAGAGCGTAGAACTTTCTATCGCACTCCCCTACCAGTTTTTTCGCCAAACCTTGTTGCACCATTTTTGACACCATCCACTTATACCCCTCTTTCTTTCCCTTCATTTGTTGCCTTCTCGGTCTGTTTATATGCATAACATCCTCTTTCGTGAGGTAACGGAGTGGCGCCAATGTTTCATCCAACCTCCAATTGTTACCCCGAGACTTTCCTTTAGTGCCAGACTCTCTAACCCCACCGGCATTGCTCGCCATCGCTGTTTTCTTACCGCCTTCTCCTGTCTCCTCCGTACCTGCAGCCGCCATCCTCTCCATTGCATGTCCATCACCGACTGCCGCTACCAGGGTCCCGATAATGCCCTCCATAGGACCACTCCACGCGTCCTGCACGCCTGCGTTCGCAACAGGCAGCCGAGTGTCCCCATCTTCCATTGCCTGCAGCGAGAATCCATACGATCGGGCAATGGGGCAGTGTTGGGGGCACTTCCCTCGCCAAAGGCCCCTCTTTTCGTCTCCGCCTGCCCACGACCTCCGACGTCCATGTTGGAAGTGTGCATTGTAGCTCTACCATCTTCGCCTGCGACGCCCATATCAACTCGGCCACCTGTTACGGTCATCTACTCGTCGAAGGACCTCGACCGCTGCATACGAGGCACGCTTGGCTGCTCACGCGGCATCCCCCACCCCGTCGTCGCGGGAAAAGGAATTGAAAATGTTGATTGCGGCAGGCCACTTCAAGTTGCGGTCTGGCCCATCACGGACGAGAACGATTCCTCAACACGTTGTTGCGGCATGCTTGCGTACGTGTTCAACTTTGGCGGTGAGAACACATTTCGGGTGGCCCACTGCAGAAGCGCCTTGGAAGTGGGCAAAGGGGCTGCGCTCCCCTGCCCATGCTCCACCTTCGAAAATCGATGGTGGCATACCTTCACTCGCAGATTTAATGTGGGACGACAAGGCCGATGCGGACGGATGAGGGTTGAGGTTGTGCTTTATACGTGCTTGCTGCGCACGACGATGAAATGTTCCCAAGTACTATTGCGGATGTGCACACCGACCATGGAAGCTGCTCCCACCAAAATGACGTGCGTCGACAACCCGCCGTCAGATACAGAAAACCCTGCCAACGTCCAAGGAAACGAGTGATATCCACGTGCTACCAGCAACGCTTCATTATAAAATATTTGAAAACGACGAAGCACGCATACGACACGTCAACAACGGCTCTTTTTTTTTCCCAACGGCAAGTGCCACACAATACGGCGGGAGACGATGGGACAACGTCGGACCCGATATATTCGTGGAACCAGTACCGGTAGTCGTCCGCGTCTCACAGTCCTCTGCTCCCTAGATGTATTGGCCGACCAAGGGCAGACATCGAAAAGAGGGACTCGTTTTTGCGGCAGCTTTCTCGGTAGGGGTAGGGGTCCTCGACCTTTCCATTTTTTGTAGCGTCGTTGGGCCGTTCATCACGGCCTATGCGCCACGTACACATAACCCGAAAACGTACTCCTGACAAAGCGCCTCGCCCTCCGATTTAGGAAAGTGGTGCTATCCACGTTTCTTAACAAAATTGCCTGAATTATGCACTGTCGGATCATAAGTTGAGTCACCGCAAAAAAAAATTGAAAAGCACACCAAAGATATCGAGAACTCGAATAAACAAAGCATTATCCTTTTTTTTTTTTTTTCAACGAGTTTTCCGGCATCACACCGTTGAGTTACCTCAACCAAACGGTGCATGTGAGACATGGTCCCCCTCCTGCAGGTGGGCGATACCCGCCAGAGGACAACCGATAGGATTAGGGACTATACCAACAGGAACAATCCCTGTGCCTCCCCTCAGGTCGCCTCCCCTATGAACATCAACAGACTCTGCTCAACGTCGATCGCAGGACCCAATGGTCTATCTCTAGGTGGCGGGCGCCAACATGCCTAGGAAGATATATGAGGTCAGTGGGGATTGAACCGACGACCTCCTGAATGCCAATGTGAATCTTACCGACTGAGCTATTTCACCCTGTGAATGGGGGAGTTTTTAACAGAAATATTTTCTTCACAAAGTCCTGAAAAAAAAAGAAAAAATTGCTACCACCTCTCGGGCCATGGCAAATTTCCCAACACAACTGTTGGATAGGCCACTGACATTTGTTACCCCAAATGCTACAATTGATCCAATTATGGCATTGTGTGACTACAAGAACCACCAAATTTTTGCCATTTTGAAAGAAAGGGCCCTAATGTGAGTATGCCCTTCCTAACCCTAATACAGGATAGGAAAGACAAACCAGCCTCGATTCTTTGATGGCAGTATCAGAACTTGTTTTCGTTAGGGAAAAAACGGAAAGAAAAAAAAAAATACAGGCCTAGTCCTTTCGAACATGCGTTAAAATTGGAGTGGAACATATAAGATGAACATAACCGTGCACAAGGATAACATGCATAAAACAAGAAATGACCCAAATCAACCCGAGAAAAAAACAAGAAAACAAAGACCGACTACATCGCACCGCAAATCAATCCCTTGGATCCAATTCCATAAACAGAGGAGGGGGGAAGGGAAGGGAAGAAAGGAAAAAGAGTGACGGTGGGGGTGAGACGGGGTCATAGTCGTCGTTGTGGTGCGTCACTCGGTTCTTCATTTTATCGGCTTTCTGAGTCTATTTTTGAGATTTCTTCACATATGTTTTGCCTTGCTAAAACGGTTATATGTGTTCATGTCCTATCAATTTCGTTGTCTTCGTCATCCCATTCCGGAGGGGGAGCGAGGAGGAAGGGGGGAAGTGAAAAAGAGGAAAACGAGTTGGGTTCCTTAAACATGCACACCGATATGCGCAACTATGTTAGTCTCCCTCCTTTTGACGACACGTCATCACGTGTCTTCCTGATGCCATGTCAACACATATTCTCCTCACGATATGCTCGCTAGTGGGGCAAGACCCCAACCGACAGGATGGATGACCAATAGAAAAAAGCAGCCTAGATGCCGGTGGGCTTGATACAATGCTTACTTTGACACTAGGGCTTTCATATGACATATCTGACCACATTTAGGGCCAGTGCCCCAGACAAAAATACAAATCACAAATGAGTTAAAGATTTCGGGGGCATGAGGATGACCCCACGCCCATGAAAATGAACAAAAGAAGTAAAGAATAGAAAGAAAAAAAAATCCAAAAAATTATAATAGGTCATTTATTTAGTAAAATTTGAAGTAGAAATTTCTAACCCTAATAAAGTAAAGGAAAGACATACCAGCCTAAATTTTTTAGTGGAAGTATAAAAACTTGTTTTCATTTGAGAAAAACCAACACAGAAACGGAAAAAAATAGGTCGAGTTTTTCGGATGTTATAGCAACACATATAAGACAAATACAGTCTTGTATAAGGATGACACACATAAAACGAGAGGGAAAATCAACTCAGTTGGCGATAAGACTTGACAGACTCCATATATAAATCATAAATATAGGGTCTTTAAAGTTTCAGCCCCAACTAACCTTGTTTGGCATAGGGTGACTTGAGAACCCACGTGTTGTGCCAAATAGTCATTGGTTGTCGGGCTGGAGCTAAGGCGGCCTACATCTTGGCAGGCTTCATGAGTTGTATACACTGTGTGTCAAGACACCTCCTTGCAGCAGCAGCTGGACACCTACCAACCCATCTCCCAATGGCAATTCATGTATTAGACTAGAGAAAACCCACCGTGCAAAATAGCGGAGTTCAAATATAACACATGGGAAAGTAAAGCAGAAATAGCGTAGTTGAAAATGCATGTTCGAGCACACTAGTCTACCTTTTTCCCCCGAGCATAACGCATATGCATTGTATTCGAGTTTTAAAAAAACAACATTTTTTCGAAAGTTTGTATTTTTTTTTTCAAATAGAAGCACACTTCGAATACACCACATATGATTTGTATTCGAATAAAACGCATATGCATTTTATTCGAATTTTGAAAAGATTCAAATATGATCTTTTTTTTTTTCCCCTTTCTCTTTTAGGTCAGCGCATATACATTTTTTTTCCTCTCTCTCTCTCTCTCTCTCTCTCTCTCTCTCTCTCTCTCTCTCTCTCTCTCTCTCTCTCTCTCTCTCTCTCTCTCTCCCTCTCTCTCTCTCTNCTCTCTCTCTCTCTCTCTCTCTCTCTCTCTCTCTCTCTCTCTCTCTCTCTCTCTCTCTCTCTCTCTCTCTCGCGCGCGCGCGCGCGCGCGCGCTGGCTGCTTATGTCCTTCACTCAAGTTCTGTCTTGCTTTCCCCTTGGATGGATTGAGTGCATATTGTTATAACTTATAAGCTTGCTATTAAGCCGTCACCTTGTTGCACAACAGTTGCGGAAGAAGTGAAGAGAATATATAACACAGTGAAACACACAATAAAATCATTACAATGTGATATGGAATTTAAAATAATTTAATAGCGGGAACACCTGAATTCAGGTACAGTCTGTTCTTTGCAGCTTAAGAGGATGGATAGAAAACATGAAGTAGATATACAGTTACATAACTGGACAGCAACTGTTTCTGACAGTCCATCGTCATAGGAATCTGCAAAACTTCCCCATTATAGCATAATAATAACACCCCTCCTCCCCATACCACACATTGTAGGCACCACGCTTTGTGTAGCTGTCCTCCACCTAGCCCTTCACTCAACCCATTTAGGCTTCTTGGGTCGTTGTAGATCCCGAGTTCATAAGAGCTACCGATAGGACCTCCAGAGTAAAACAGTCGCGAGCAGACAGTCAACCTCCAGAGTAAAACAGTCGCAAGCAGACAGTCAAATGCGAACGAAGAAGTGGTTTGCTCAGATTAAGACAGAGAAGGCAGAATAGAACAGTGCCAGCATACAGTGGCTAGCTCTGGCTATGACGGCTTTCGCTAGAATGGCTTCTTCTGGATATGGTTGTATCTAATATGTCTCCACATTCCATCTCTCATCCTTCTTGAGTTCTTTCTTGTACTCAGCCCAGTCAATTCCTGCAAGTGGAACAGAAAAGACAGCGTCATCAGTATTTGATGATTTTGATCCCATATGCGAGTAATATCGAAATCAAGTTGTAAACGATCTGACGACAAAAAAAAGTTTCCATGCTGAACATTTTTTGCACAGACGATCTGACAAAAAAGGAGTTGGAACGTTCACATGTGAAAGGATGATCTTCCCCCTCGTCTGCTGCATCCCCCTCATCTTCTGCTTCCATTGTCCCCTCCTCTTCTTACCACTCCTCTTCCTCTGCCTCCTCTGCTGCCTGCTTCTCTTCTGCCTCTTGTCTCTCCTCTTCCTTCTCCTTTCCTCCTTCCCCTCGGCCCCCTCCTACTCGTCCTCTTCTTCCTCCTCCTTTCCGTTCTTCTACTTCTCCTCCTCCTCCTCCTCCTCAGCCTTTCCTTCCCCTCCTCCTCCCCTTTTCTTCCTCCTCCTCCTCCTCCTCCTGCTTTCTTTCTCCTCCTCCTCCTCCTGCTGCTGCTGGAATTTCTAGGTAAACCAAATGCCATGCCATAATTACTGCACATTCTCAATGATCTAAATTTACAACAAAACCTGATGCGCATTGTCAATCAGTCGACAAGCATGCCGTCCAGCATTTAGGCTGGCCTTCATCTTATCCTCCTCTCTTATGGATCCAAACTTCCGAAGTAGTTTCTGACTTTTCCAAAAAAAACAGGGGCTGCATGCATATGCACCTCACACCGAACAATGCCCACAGAACTTGATAGTAAGTTGATACATATAAGACACTTTTTTTTTTTTTTTTTCACATTCGCGAGTCATAACAGCTATCTTTTGTGACTGTGTCAGAGGGTCAACACTTCTTCTTTTCTTTTCTCTTTTGCCACTCGCGATGAGGTGGATCGGCACATGGAAGACCTAGCTGAGCATTCTCAGCATAAAAAATGCCAGGATGGCTGGCATTGAGCATGCCCACCATACACTCCCGACAAATGGCATGTCGATTGCAGGCCAGAATGAAGGAAGAACGCTCGTCGCTGACCACAAAAGACCATGCATTCAGTACAGCGCCCCTGGACGCAAAATGGGCATATAGTGTCCGTATGCGGAGGGTGCCTGCAGTCAGGAACGGAGGGACAGTCCTCTACACACATGGATGCAGAAACCATGTCATTGTAGTGATTGTGACAGAGACATATATAATATATATACTTTTGCCTAGTAATATAGAAACTAAATCGAGTATCAATAGAGAATTTTTTCCGAGCTCCGCTGAGTTTGTTTGAGCCCTATACACCGGTTTTCATCATCATAAACTGTTTTTCATTCTTTCATCCCCCTTCTGTCTCTCTTTTTGTCGCCATTGTTGTTTGTCGTTCCAACAACCCACACCCCTTCTATTCTGGGGGCCAACAGTCCGGTTGATTATTACCGGCAAGCATGTTGTAACATCCAAAAGATGTCCTTCGGGACATCCGTTAAAATTGGAACGATACAGAGAAAGAAGATTAGCATGGCCCTTGCGCAAGGATGACACGCACAAATCGAGAAATGTTCCAAATTTTAAAAACATCGACGAGATGAGGGGGGGGGGGAGACGAGAAAGAAGATCAGGCGATCCCTTGTGGCACTAGCCGCCTAGCAAGGGGGGGACTGTGACAGGGCTTCCCTTCCCCAGTCCGTGGCCTTCCTTAGGGGGTTGCCTGGGTGGTCAGGAGGCTTGCTAGCAGCACCCAGTCACAGGATGGCGGGCGCGGGGGGAGGGGGGGGGGGGTCCCTACCAGTTCCTCAGGCCGCATAACAACTATCTTTATCATGTTACTACCTCGTACAATGCATCATCCAATAAGCCTTTATTTTCTTTTCTTTGGGCAGGTGCTGATGGTGTGGATGGTGAATGAAGGAGTGGATAATCTCTGGCAAGTGATTCGTGATTCGTCTCGTGGGTGTGATAATTATTCCTAATTAATTAATAATTTTTTTTGAGGAGGGGATTCAATTTTCAATACAGTCAGTACGGGTAAGCGTTCACATTTGCGCAAGCGGAGACCTCCAGATGAATCCATCGCTTCTTTCAAAACATAGCTCAACTTCATAATCAGGTTCTTGATGGCACTGAAAGGCCAAGAAGGAAGCAGGACGCAAAATGAATAGGTGGGCAGCTGGGGGTGCGCGTGAAAGTGATGGGTGCGGGAGGAAATAAGTCAGTGGGCTTACCATCCTTAGCTGCAAGTGAGGTCATGATATCATCAATTCCCTTCTCCATACCCCTGAGACCGCACATGTAAGTGAAGGTGTTTGGCTTCTTCAACAATTCCCACAACTCGTCGGCATACTCTGCCATGCGCGTCTGGATGTACATCTTCTCACCCTTGGCATTTGACTGCTCTCTGCTAACTGCGAAATCCAACCGGAAGTTGTCTGGGGCCTTCTCCTTCATCTTCTCAAACTCCTGCAGGCCGGGAACCATCCGCAGGTGTGCACACCAACACACACACACACACACCTGTCTCTTATACACATCTAGATGTGTATAAGAGACAGAACCTGGACCTCGCTCCACTACTCTCGATATGTGTAAAACGAGAGTAGTGGAGCGAGGACCTTGCGCTCTTCTTGGTTATCTCCCACTTTCTGACAAACTGCGATCAAGAAGGTGGCAGGGGGGAAAGCGGAAAACCATGAGGGACATATCTAACTACGACAAGGCGTTTTATTTTTCCATGTTCTAGTGGAAAATTCATTCTCATTTTGCACATTTGGTGAAAGGAGTGGAGGGAGGCCCAAAATGGCAAAAAGGGGATGAATTTTCGGCCTGAATATGGAAAGATACAACATCACATTTTTTGTCTATGTAATGTCATCGGCCACGGACTTGAACTACGCCTACTCAATCTGAACCGGGCCCCCTGCTATCAAAAAAGTTGTTGCATTGCCCTTGAATACAACGCATATGCAGATTAAACGAATAAATGCAGCGTATGAGTTGTATTCGTTGACAACGCATGTGCGTTATGTTCGGGGGAAGAAGGTAGGGTAGACTTAGTATGTGGAAAATCGACTCTACCAAACTGTACACTTAGACCTACGACCTAAGTCGGAAACAGGCAAGTAGAGGCAAACAGTGGTAGAATGAGACGGGAACATAAAAGGGATATCTCTTAGTAATATATAGAGGGTTTGCAAAGTTACAAGGTTAACTGACGTCATTTAAGGAAGCAAGACGAAAATTTGAGTTTTTCACCTCTCTCCCAGGCTAGAAAAATTTACTAAATCCATAATTACTGCAAATCTGAGTTTTTCCGAGTTTTTTGCAGATCTGTGTTTTGCTATGTTTTCACTAACTTATGTTTTTCTGCAAAATCGGGTTTTAAACTAAACCAACGTATAAAGGTCAATGTGTAGAGATAGGAGGACGCTGTCACACCTTGCACCTTCTTCGTCCTCCATCTCCATCACTCATCCACCATAGTCAGACACCTTGCACTCTTTCTCCTCCATCTCCACCACCCATCCACCATAGTCGAGCACCTTGCACCTTCTTCCCCCTCCACCTCTATCACCCATCCACCATAATCAAGCACCTTGCATCTCCTTCCTCCTCCACCTCCATCACCCATCCAGCATAACCAAGCACCTTGCACCTCCTTCCTCCTCCACCTCCATCACTCATCCATAATAGCCAAGCACCCTGCACCTCCTTCCTCTTCCACCTCCATCACCATCCACCATAGCCAAGCACCTTGCACCTTCTTCCTCCTCCACCTCCATTACCCATCCACCACAGCCAAGCACCTTGCACCTTTTTTTTTTTCCATCTTCATCACTCATCCTCCATAGCCAAAAACTTTGCACCTTCTTCCATCTCCATCTCCGCCACTCATCCACTACAGCCAAGCACCTCACACCTTTTTTCCCCTCCACCTCCACTCATCCACCATAGTCAAGCACCTTGCAACTTTTTCATCCTCCTCCTCCATCACCATCCACCATAGCCAAGCACCTTGTACCTTCTTCCTCCTCCGCCTCCATCACCCATCCACCGTAGTCAAGCACCTTGCACCTTCTACCTTCTCTACCTCCATTTACACATCCACCATAGTCAAGCACCTTGCAACTTGCACCTTCTTCCTCCTCCACCTCCATCACCCATCCACCATAGCCAAGCACCTTGCACCTTCTTCCTCCTCCGCCTCCATCACTCATTCACCATAGCCAAATATCTTGCACCTTCATCCTCCTCCACCTTCATCACCCATCCGTCGTAGCCAAGCATCTTGCACCTTTTTCCTTCTCCACCTTCGTCACTTATTCATCATAGCCAAGCGCCTCGCACCTTAGTCCTCTACCTCGTCCTACTTCAATAAGGCGCATAGGACTATGAGAACCTAGGGGAATCCCTGGGTAGGGAGGTATGAGTTTTATATTGAACAAAGGAAGTTTTTTTTTTTTTTTTTTTTTCTCTCTCTCTCTCTCTAAGTTATTATGGATTCTTGTTCTTCCATTTCTTTCTCCATCTTGGCTTGCGGCTTACCCTTCTCCACTCCGTTGCCCATTGTCGGGGAACAAAGAGTGAAAGAAGTTTTATCCCACTTGGTGGAGAACTTGAAAGAGAGTACGAGGAGTATTGTCGGTCCCTTGCTACACAAAGAGGAAAAAAATTGAAATTGTTAGAGCTTGTGAAAAAGAGGAAAGGACATGTCAGTTGACTCGACCAACACCCCCGACTTCATGTGGAAGAAAAAAAGTTGTAGGAAAGGTTGGACAGCATTTCATGACGGATGACCCAACTGTTTATTTTTTAGTTTATGAAAGGTTAAGTTACATTCAATGAGGAATGTTTTTTTTTTTTTTTTTTTTTTTTTTTTTTTTTTTTTTTTTTTTTTTTTTTTAACCCAAACAATATCTCACGACGAGTGATTCAAACGTATGTATCATGTGACTGATTTCTTAACGTCTACGCAATGTATCGTGACGGTTTGCTCAGGTGTATGTTTCTCTGACTATTTATGAACGGTTCGGTAGAGTCCATGACGGACCATCTAGTTGCGTGTTTATTTTATGAAAGATGAAACAATATCAAAGTGAACAATGTAGTTGTGTATTTATTTAGATTAATCATTTATCTGTAATTGAATTGGTAATATTTTATATCTAAAACTTACAACTCAAATACATGAAAATGTCAAGTGTGAATCTAATGTGAATCTGATTCACGTATCATTATGTGTTAGGTTTTGCTTTATATTTTATATTACTTTAAGTTTCGTTTTGCTTTGGTTATGTTATGCTTTATCTTTTAATACGTAGTTTAATGGACGTTCGTCAAGCGTTTGACCGATCGATACATAGGTTGTTCTTAGTTGGGTAGCTCTATGATGGTTTTTAAGTTTACTTATAAAAGTTTACGTATTTTTTTTACCTAATATAAATTTATGGAGTTTATTTCTCTAGGGGGGATATTACCCGGATTTTACTAAAACTTAAGAGCTGGTAAAAACTTCATCCAGATCCTATAAAGGGGACTTTGATCAGAATTTTGTTTAGTATAAACTATGAGAGTCAGTGTTTTTATAAAAAATATTGCAAAAAGTTTTACTAAGTCAAAGTCATTACCAATGATAAAGGATCCGAAAGCGAAGTTGATCTTCATTGACGTGACAGAGTATGCTTGAATTCAATTTTGTTACATAATTCATAACTATCTGTGGATGCCTTCAAATATTTTGAGCATCATAAAGTTATGTTACAAATTGGTAACAATTCGGTTTGCGGTTCAACCTTCATCCTCCTTGATACCCACACCCGAAAATGTGGATTTTTTAGGTGAATGTCACTTTCTCCAAGGTATTTTCATTTAAGTTTTTTCTTGAAAAACCATGTAGGATAACAAAAAAATTCTCATAAAAAATAAAAACTTAAAAAATTCTTTTAACAAAAAAAAAATCTTCATATTTTAAAATTATCATTTCAATGAGCGTCAAATTTTGAAATTGCCAGTGTTATTTGATAAGTTTCCATTTAAAAATGAGTTTTCCCTTCTAACTACGTTTATTTGTTGAAGATGGAATGAAAGTTTTGAACGACTTTATGAAATATATTAATTAAAGTTTTATTCCACTATTACAAATATTTTATATTTTATATTATATTAACCTATATTATGATTGAAAATCCTTATATAGAATAACAGTCCAATTAAATATTTCATGAACTCATTCAGACTTTCATTCCATCTCTAACATACAGTTCAAGTAAGAAGGGATACCCCATTCTTGGAAGGAAAGTTTTCAAGTAAGACGAAAAATTTTAAAAGTAAAATAATATTTTTAAGACGAAATAAAAATTAAAAATTTATAATATCATTTTACTATAGAGTGTATTTAATTCTGGAAATTTTTTTTGTTGGAATTATATAAATGGAGTGAATTTGATGATATAAAGTGATGTGTGAGACTGAACAGTGTGACAAAAATATTGACCACATTAGTGCATGATTATGTGACTTTTATCTGCATATGTACTTATGGAGGGTAATCGACAAACTGTACTTCAAAACAGTGAGAATGACAACAAGATGCTGCACGATCTTTTTATCTGTTCTATACACGTCCTTATCGTTTTAGGTTTCTCATTCATTTCACTAATTTATGTTTATCTCAATTCCGGAAGGGTGTGTTAAATTGTTTGTTTGTTTATTTGATAGGAAGTCGATATTATTGGTTACTAACAATCAAAAGCCTCATACCGCTTTGCAACCCTCACTCGTCTTCTTCATTAGGCACGAAAGATAGAGGACAAGCGATTGCTCACACAACCGCTCAGTGCCAAGCAGTTAACCTCTCACTGGCAAGACGTGTGTCACGTGACACTTGTATGCAATGCATGACCCCCGAATCCCGTGAAGGATTGTGTTTTTGTTTATATCGCATAACGTATCGTCATGGCGAATGACTACGTGTTAATGCATAATTAGGCGTAATGGTCTTGCTCCCTTATTGCTATCGTATTTATTTGTTTTTTCACCATGAGAAGGGTCAACCTTGTTGTTCTCACCATGACCAGGGGCCCAAAACTATGGGTCTTGCCACCATTTAGTATTAGTTAACATTCGTTGTTCATCCAACTTTGACTCATGAATACAAAGGATTTTGACGTTGTTTGTATGAAGTCAAGTTTTCAAAGTATTTATCTTTTGTTCATTACTCTTATCACATAACCAACAAACGCTCCATGTGGCAGTACGCAGCTTGCCTTTAAGAGGCATGAAGTACTCCCAAGTCGAGATTACAATGTATTCAAATTTTTTATTTTGCCTCCACTTGTCCATGTTTTATTCTCCTGATGCCTTCTACCCTACTTGCCCATGACTCATCCTATAATACTCTTACGGTGTCCACAAGAGACTCGTCAAATAACGCTTGTCTGTGAGCCAAGTGAAAGAGTCACTTG